TGCCCTGGCTCCTTTCTGTCCTGCTGGTTCAGCTCTTCCTGCTCCTCTGACCATTTGGGAGGTGCCAAGGCTGAAGTGCCACAGGTGTCTGACCAGGGCTACCCAACCAGGGCTGCAGCCACAGGGCCCGTCATGCTTTCCAGGGAATGCAGGAAATTTTCTTTCTTTGCATTTAGTAGTAATTAACAATAACTGAACATGGACCAGGATCTAGGGATCGTGACAAATGCTGAAAGCACGTGTCCTCACTGAAGCCCCAGCCAGCCACCCCGGGAGTCATCTGGGTGTCCTTGTCCCCCAGTCTGTGCTCTAATACCTCTCCATGCCTGTTCCTATTTGAAATTAGAAGTACTATGTATACAAAACAACGTTCTTTATGAAAAAAGGAAATTTCCATTTACTTTATCATTCTCTCATAAATAAGCTTACGTCTATTTCTTTTTTTCTTTCTTTTTCTCTATAGTTGCACACTACCATGCCAGGCTAATTTTTTAAAATTTTTAGTAGAGATGGGGTCTCACTGTGTTGTCCAGGCTGGTCTTGAACTCCTGGGCTCGAGTGATCGTCCTGCCTCAGCCTCCTAGGTTCCGTCTATCAGGAGAGGGTTGGAATGTGGAAGCTGTGCATCCGTCTCTATGCTGTATTGGGGAACTCTGCAAAGGCTAAGCTGGAGAAGGACAAGGTGCACGGCTCCTGAAGAGCAGGGCCTGTGAGTCCTGCTCAGTGCCGTCCAGCCCGTGCCTGGCACACAGCAGCACTCAACAGGCACGTGGCGGATTCATGAGGAGACTGCTGTCAGAGCCTCCTGTGTCTTCAGCTCTGTACAGTGGAACAAAGGTTTATTTGTCGTGGTGTTTTTCACATCAGTTACATTGACCATCCATTCATAGCAGCACATACACAGTGGTGAAATTAAGATGTGTTGGGATATTCATTAATAAATGTATATTTACCAGGGCCTTGTCCAGACCATGGTCATATTTGACCCAGCGTGTTGTGTCAGTTGCTTGACAGTGGTTATGAATGATCCTTAAGAGGCCTCTGTCTACATCTCCAGGATCCTAGGAGGGCACTCATGGTGGTTTCACGGGACTCTGGACTCCTGAGAAATGGCCTTGAGTCTACAGGATACAACTACAGCCCGACCAGACCACCCGACGCTCCCAGGCCCATGGCTTGCTCCCCTCCTGGCGATTTCCAGCCTGGTAGAAAACTCGCCTTTCTGCTCCTGTCGCCCCCAGCTCTGAGATCAGTGAGGGTAGGAAATGTGCCCTGGTCACTGAAAGGGCTGAGGAAATGCCGGCTCCCTGAGAATGCAGCTGAGCCGCCTTCTAGGGCAGGACTGGGAAGGAGCACAGCGCCAGGGTGACACGTGGTTGCAAGCCCAGCTCTGTCCCTGAGCAGCATGCTATCTGTGGGGTCTCTCCTGACTGTCTCTGCGAGGTGCGGGGAGAGAACTGCTGCCCACTTCGAATGCTTTCTTCCATGTGTAGACAGATGGCCCTTCTCTCCTTCCCCATAATGCAGCCTGTGGAAATATTCAAGAGGCACACCACTTAATAACTTTCCAAGTGGGACATCAACGAACTGGGCTTCTACCCTGAGCATCATCTTGCTGTGGCCCTCCAATAAGTCATCCCATCATTTATGCCTCACTTTCCTCATCCGTAAAATGTGAGGAGAGCCAGGCGCGGTGGCACACGCCTCTAGTCCCAGCTACTCAGGAGGCTGAGGCAGGAGGATCACTTGAGCCTCGGAGTTAAACACTGCAACGAGGTATGATTGCACCACTGCACTCCAGACTCCTAGGTTGGAGTCTCAAAAAGAAAAAAAAAAAGTGAAACTCCATCTCTAAAAAAAAATAATCATTGGCCAGCAGCAGTGGCACGTGCCTGTAATCCCAACACTTTGGGAGGCCAAGGCGGGTGGATTGCCTGAGCTCCGGCGTTTTAGACCACCCTGGCAATACGGTGAAAACCCATCTCTACTAAAA